TTCGTTTCTTATTACTCCGAGCAAAACACTTCGAAGTTCTTATGATTGAGCTACGAAAAAGGAAGGTGCACCTTGTTGGTATAACTAGTAACTTCAATTCTTTTAAGCTTTTGTCAATGATCCAATCCTCATAACAGCTCTCATCGTTCATTCATATACTCCTCTTTTATTCGAGCATCACAATTATAATAATCGAGAGTGATTATTATTAACTGAAAGGAAACCGACCCCTAAACAAGCATCAAAAATTAAATTATATAGACATCGGGATGATATTAAACACATACATATTAATCATTCACTTTCCATTCATTCTCATCTCTACTCTTTCTTTGGTTTGAATGATGAAAAAGCAAAAAAAGAAGGAAGAATAAGATTTTGTGCACTCTAGGTAGCCATTATCAACCCCTTAACACAATATCATATGGACCCAACATATCATTTTTAACTTTCCTTATTTCTTCCAATTCAATCGTATAATCACTACCCATTATCATCCTTTCTTTATTATCAATTATTATTATAAAAACAAGAACGGGGAGCATAAATACACGTTAAATTTCGAAATTGTCATTAGTCAAAAAGACCTCAACCGATTCATGTAGCCCACTTGACGAACGTCAACGACTAAGACATCGTAAGTTGGTCTGCAACTATCATAAAATAGACTTTCAATCAGTATCGAACAGTTATCGAAGATGATAGGGTTATATTTGAATTTAATTGCATACAGATGGGTTCAATTATACGTGTAAAATGATGTGATATCACAATAACAAAAATATTATAGATAATTGCATATAATGCACCAATGAACTAAAGATTTAGAAGTCTTGGGTTGTATGATTAGGGTTATTAAACAACAAATTATTCTTTTTAGGATAAAACATTCCACTTTATATATTCCTTCAACTTTCTTTTTTTCCAAAACTTTAATTCTTTTAACTTTTCAATCTAGTTATAATTATACCTTTTCTTAGCTACTTTATTATTATTTTTTATTATGTTTTTTTTTCCTTTTTTATAAAATAAAATAAACTTTTTTATTTTATTTTATTAGTACGACGGATACTGTGAGATCTCTCGTTGATTGGAGATGAGAACGAGTGTTAGCGAGGATGCTAGACTCCGAGAGAGAGTGGATTATGAAATCCCACATCGGTTGGAGAGAAGAATGAAACATTATTTATAAGGGTGTGGAAACCTCCTACTAACATACACGTTTTAAAATTTTGAGGGGAAGTTTTGGAAGGGGAAATCCAAGAAGGACAATTTCTGGTAGTAGTGAGCTTGGACGGTTAATATGGTATCAGAATCATGCCCTTAACTTAGTCATATTAATAGAATCCTCAAATGTCGAACAAAGGGTTTACTTTGTTCGAGGGCTCTAGAAAAGAAGTCGACCCATGATCAAGGGGAGGTTATTCGAGGGCTTTATAGGCTTTATTAGAAGAGGCTCTATGATGTACTTTGTTCAAAGGGAGAAGAGTCCCACATCGGCTCATTAAAGTCGATTAGTATGAGGCCTATTGGGAAACCAAAAACAAAATCATATGAGCTTATGGTCAAAGTAGACAATATCATACCATTGAATCTCGGACCTATATTTTTAACTAATTAAATTATATCAAATTAATTTTTATAGCAATTAAAACCACTTTTTTTTTTTTTTAAGTAATAAATTAAATCAAAACCCATTTACATCATTACTTTTGAAATTGCCCAATTGTTATTATATTATTATTACTAAAATCGAAATCCAGAAGATCTTTGGTACTAAAAATAGAATTAAAAATTTAAAAAATTGAAAACAAGAAAAACCCATATTTATATAATTAACTTAACAATTAATAGCAATGATTAATCTTTAAATGTTAAAAAGTTACCAAATAAAAATAACATCAAATTTCCAATTAAGGTAGCTCAAAGTGGAATAAGTTAATGAAGGACAACCATTTTAAATATAAGATACTCATACATATATATATATATATATATATATATATATTTATGCTGCGGTTTTTCATACTATTTGTAACATGTAATGTCTAGTATTCAAATTTGGATTTCAAATTTTGAACGATTGCTTGATACCATTTGTAACACTGTATGTTTAGGATTCAAAGTTGAATTTCGAATTTTAATCGAAATCTTGGGCATGAGGCGTTACAATAAATGGTTCCTAATAAACTTAGCATTTAAATAACCTAATGCAATGATAATATAATAGTCCTAGTCCAAGCCCAGTACGAATAGATATTGTCCACTTTGGTTTTTAAAACGCGTCTGTTGGAGAGAGATACCCTCATAAAGAATGATTTGAATGCTTCGTTTTCCTCTTCAATCGATGTGAGATCTCATAGTCCACTCTCCTGGGGCCAACATTCTCACTGTCACATTGCTTGGTGTCCGATTCTGAAACCATTTGTAACAACCCAAACTCGCTTTGTTACCGTTCACAGTCCACCCCCATGGAGGCCAGCGTCCTCACTCTCTGATACTATATCGTTTGTAACCGTCCACGCCCACGGGTAGAAGGTATCACCATGAATTTGAAAGTTGGAAAGTCTAGAAAGTAATTATAGAGTGGAATATGAGAGAGAGAGAGAGAGAGAGAAGAATAAGAAATAAAAAAGAATGATAATGGGGGAAATAAGGTGTGGTTTAGGGTTGAGATTATTGTGTAATGTAACGATGATTAAATAAAAAAAGAGATTCCAAAAAGGGGAAAAATTACATTAATATCTTTCTCCAAATCTCATTAATATAAATATGCCTCCTCCCCTTCCTCTTCTTTTGGCTTCCTCTTCGCCGTCGTCCCCCCCGCTGCTCCGCCTGCCGTCCACCCGCCGTCCCTCACAACTAGCACCGGAGAATCTGTCAAGCTCAGGAGGGATAGCGCCCCTCCAATAATCTCTCAAACTCGGGTTCCGGCGCTATCTATCCTGGGTTTCATGGCTTCTTCTTGCTTTTTTCATTTCTTTTTTTCTTTTTCCAAATACAAAATATACCAATTTTCGGGCTTCCAAAAACCAAGGTATATTTCTATTTCTATTTCTATTTGTTGGATGAAAGTCGGGGCTAATTTAGGGAATCATCCTGCCTTTATAATAAAAGATTATTCTCTCTGTTGGTACGAGACTTTTTTGGGAAGTCCAAAAGAAAAGCACTAAACATTACGTTCCATCAAAGGAGACAATATCAGACAATTTTTTTCTTTTTGCGGACCATTTTTTTAGGTTAATATAGAAGATGATCATATACGTGTATGATCCAAAGTTTAGTTTAGGGCAAGGGGCAGTAGTATGTTATTATAATTTTTAGTGAGTAATAGTGTATTAGACAACAAATAAAAAATATACCCTCCTTCTTAACTTTGGGATAGCAAGGATTTGATCACGATTAGAGGTGTCTTATGCATACTCATTTTTAAATAAGAGGGAGGAAATTGAAACAAGACGGTTTATTTTCACTATTATAACATATAATATAATATGTATGTTTAGAAATTATATTATATATATATATTTTTTACTTATAAAATATTATAGAATTTATTATGCATTTTTTAATAGAAATTATATTACCAAAAAAAAAAAAAAAAATTATTATTGAAGTATAATTATATATATAAAGATCTGAGAAAAATCCTTATAAAATTTATGTTTAAAAATTCTTGTTTCGATCAAAATTCCACTTCGATTCTAAAACGAATTAAATGAAAAGTTTGGCAGGAATGAAGATTAAAATAGGAAGTGAGAAAGAGGACGAAGAAGGTTTCTCTATCTTGTCTTGTCTCGCTCCGACCCATGAACATCTCTAGCGAGAATGCAAAGGTGGTTCTTAACATGATAAGGTACGTCGAAGTATGCTTTCCTTATTTGTTATGAGTTATTGGTGCCGTGATTGATTGGTAGGAGCTTCAAGCTTCAATTTTATGTTTTCTAGTATCGATTTTTCTGATTTTCTTGGCATCCTTTCGGTTCCTTTTAGCAGTGATTATTGTTTATCAAAAATCTCATTTATTAAAATTGAAAGTTTAGAATAAAAAATGATTTTTTTATTTTTATTTTTTTTTTACAGATTTTGGAGTAAAAATTATTATTTTTTTCATCATATTATTTATTAAACTTAGCTGCTTCTTCCCTTTTTTTCGTTTTTCTATTCTTTGGTTAAAATATTAATAGTTGGAATAATATTTTGTAAATAAATTGAAAAAAAAAAGACTGACTTGTTAAATAATATTGCAAACATGTTTGATAATTTATCTCATTTCTAAATATTTAAAAATATTTCTAAAACAAATGAACCAAATTTAAGAAACTATATATTTTTCATACTTGTACGTACATATATTTCTCTCTTTTCGTGCGTTCAATCATGTGCGACATAACGTCACATCTCATTGCCATCTCAATTTCCAACAACACATTTCATGGATCGTGATGTCATCCCATGTCTCAAGACACATTAACCATCTTGACTTGCTTAGACACATCTGATGGGAGCTGACCCATGTGTCAATCATCTCATCAAGACATTCCGAACATCCATCCATCTGAGTTCTCTCAAACATCAAACTCGCTCTTGTCCATGCTAAACCATTTACAACATACATTCCAAATCGCAGGTGCATAATCCAACTTCCAACACATGGGCTAGAGTGCAATATTGGCACACCTTCCAATACTGTTCTTAAAAGACACTTTTCAAAGGGAGATGCTCAAGACGTTCGTCCCATGACTCTTACCCATGCTATGACACAACTCGCTTCAACCTCAAAGCAGTCACCCATGCTATGACACAACTCGCTTCAACCTCAAAGCCTAAAAGGTTAATCGATAGTTGAGACATACCCTCCTTCAAGATTAGAGACTACAATTTCATACGTAAATATGGAATTTATAAAATCAACTGGGTGAAATCTGGAAAAATAGTTTGTTCCAGCCGCTCTCATTTCCTGTTCAGATATTCATTGGTAAGTTTACAGGCTAGAATACAATGACCTTGGCTCAGTCATTTTGTATTTGTGCAACTTTTTCTCTATACAAAATTAGTAATGCTTCCAATAGAGAAAACAGTGTGGTTCATGCAGCTAGAGATGCAACCAAAACTAATGATTAACTGGAACTTAACATAATTTAAGCTCAAATATAAGACAAGAGAATCAATATATATGTAAGGGAATCGAATGAAAAACATTACTTAAAACTCAATATTATTCTTCCAGAGATGAACTTTGGCTGAATGCAACCAAAATGAGAGATGCGGCACCAATGGGAATTGTAGTAGCTAGGTCTTCAGACTTGGGATATTTGCTGTTTCAATATCTGAATTGATTTGAGTTTCGATTCACAAATTTTTATAAACTCACTTAATACTACGTTCTTCCCGGTAACTAGCTTTCTTGCAACATCTACAGTATTCCATGACTTCAATGCTTCAGATATCCTATGACCAAGTTCAGTATTGTCCATGGACGACGTCAAGGTTTCGAGTGCGTGGAAGACTTGCCCAGGTCCTTCGTTGTTGTTTCCACTCTTTTGAATAGACAAGAGTATGGCTTCTAATTTACCTTCATCCGATTGGTTGACAAACACACTTAACCAGTTCATCAGGATCTCTAGAATACTACACAAAGATTGTGTTGAATCCCGAATTGCAAGAAATAGAGGAGAAGAGGTTAGCTCAGCGGAGCTTGTTTTCTTCTTCCTTTTACCTGATGGGAGAGAAGATCGGACACAGGCTTGGAGTATAAGACTATGCCAAGCTAATGGCTCTGAAACCAACTGCAAGAGCGTCCTTATGTCGGTATACGGGGTGAAGATTGTGAACTCCAAGGATCCAACTTGCTCCAAGATGTACTTTTCCAGAAGAGAATCGACGATACGCCAGGTATGAAACTGACATCCATCAGCTTTTTTTTCACCTAGCTCACCAGAGCTTAAGTTCCATGCATTTAGAAACACAGCAAAATTCAACCATTCAGCCAAATTGGGGCCAAAATCCTGCAAAGGAGAAAAAAAAAAAAAAAAAAAAAAAAAAAA